GCTGAAGGCCTTTCTGTCTCTGGATCCCTATCATGCTGTCTGAGACAATATTTCCATTTCCCAATCCTAACAAAAAGTGAAAATGGAATCGGAGGCTGTCAAAAGTGCGCTACGACAACACCCCCGAAGTAAAATGGCATTGTGAGTTTGATGCTGACTTGACTGCACCTTGCATAGCTGTTAGTGTTTATTAATGCTATGGTTGAGTGTGCATCCATCCATCCTTCCACCCCTCCGCAAAAGGGCGTGTGAATCACTCCAAACAACACACGCTTGACATCAAGATATAGTGCCAGAGGATGACACAAAGATACAACACATTTTAGGGGGAAAGTGTGTGTATTTGGGTGGATGACTGAGAGGGGTGGAGGGTTGAGAGGGTTCACTGCTTGAAGGGAAACATCAGGCCTCAAATGAAAAGAGGGTCCTGAAAATGGTAAGTGGCTGCGAGCGCTGTGACTGGAGTCAATTCGACAGTCATCGTCTTGGCTTGGAAAGAGCTCCCAACGCAGCAACCCCCCCCTTCCCTAGTTTCTGCTTGGCTGCGTGGAATTGGGACATATGACTTCATTCTGACAGGATTAACCCAAACCTGGTTTTAATCTATACGGTACACATAATACATTTTTACAATATGACAAGAAAAACAAGCAGCAAAAGAGACGGGGTTTCACGCGAGCACCGATTGGTCGATTGCACTGATCATTCCTGACAGATCGCATCACCTCAAAGCAACGTGCGAGTCAACATGAGGTTTCATTACAGCATCACCTTGAGACTTTTTACAAGCAAAACGAGATCAACTCAGTCTGAGGATCACGCACACTACTGATGAAGTGTGTGATTTGACTTGGAGAGACACTTTCCAGACTGAAAAGGGAAGTCTTGTAGATCTCAACAGTTGCTTTGGCGCACGTGATATGCTTCCCTACGATGTGTGTTGATAAAGCATTAAGTTGTCAAATGTATCTCATTCAGCAGCTGACTACCTAGCCAGCTAATTTCCTAGTCCAACCATGCTTTTTTGCTTTACTTGTCAGAGTAGCAGGCTGGTGGCTAGCTGCAGCAGTTTATCACTCTGCGAAGAATGCTAGCTAGCTAGTTATTGTCTTATTTGACTAAACCTAAATTCATCAAACTCAGTGATAGCAAACACGCAGATTGGCTACTAGTCCACCAGTATTAAAAACTGGAAAATACACATTTTAACCCATAAAATGTCACATACTGTAGATCAGTGGTTCTCAACTGGTCAGGCCTCGGGACCCACTTTTTACTTGGTCAATACATCGCGACCCAACATTTTGAAGCACTCAAATCTATTAAACAAAAAAACATGCTGTAATATATACGCTTTTCAGCATACAATATTAATACAAGTGAAGTACAGTGCATATATCCCTTCTCAGAACTAAAGTATGCTTTTAGAAAAGGTTTAATGAGATGATGGAATCAAAGCTGAACTATAAAAAGGCACACATGCTGAAAACCCAACCCCAGTAGGGGGGTCTGGGGGGATTGTCCCCCAGGAGATTTTTAGAAATACTAACATAAACTATGCATTCTGGTACACTCTGAGAAGAAAATAAATACATCTATTACTACCCGACATATTAATAATATTTTATGCCATTGTTTTTTTTTCACTTTGTTCTGACATCTTGCTGCGAGAAGAGTAAAGAGGAGATAGTCTGTGTGACTTACTTTAAATTGTGGGTAAGGGTAGATAGCTCCCATTGTTCTGTGACCTGTCAATCATCAAACCGGGGGTCATATTTCATTATGTGTTCATTTTTATCTGAAGTTGTACCCATGGATGTATAAAGAAGAGTTCTACCGCAAAGTCATTCTCTATGGGGACTTCCGGCAACAATCTTGATTCTGATTGGCCAGAAGACTCGAAAAAACATCAGCAAAGATATTTTATTGAGAAGATGATCACTACGTGACAGAAGTTTTCAAAACCGTTGATGGTCTCCGGTACTCCCAGTCCAACGCCGAACTGCATGCACAGCGTTAGAAAATAGGGCCTTCAAAATAAAGGTTTGACTTATTAAAGTCCCTGAAAGGAAGGTAGGACGCAGTGAGTAAAGAAATAGTTACTGTCCGGAAGAATAGTAGGTCCCCGTAAGTGATTGACAACGTTGTCCAGAAGTAAAAAGGCCTAACGTCGAAATTACCGCGCGAAGTGGGCACACGGTAGCTTTATCACAGAAGATCGAGTTTTACACCGTTTGCCAGAATTCCATAGGGGTGCCTACATAAGTTGACATAGAAGGTACAATGGTAACCCTTAGTAAAGACGTCCCTCTTTGTACGGGAGGCCGGTGAAACTCTGCAAACTGTCTGTTCAATTGTCTCGTGAACTCTGCAAGTAGAGTACCTCGTAGGTCGTTGCATACACATCGAGCCAGAACGATCTGTCTCACCACACATGTCGATTTGGACTGTGTTTCTGGTTTTTTCTCACGTAAAACAAAGGCCCATTTAAAACCTCTAAAATTTTCTTGTTTTCTCCGGACTCTGTAGTCTTACATAAGAGGTTAAACGGGTTGGAAGACTACCAGAAGAGTGGAATGGTGATAATAGTTTTGGTTAGTAATTTAGGTCTGGATACTCTTTCAAAAATCGGTTCTATATAAACTCGGCCGAATGTACAACCATCCCGCAAAGTTTATCAAACATTGAAGAAATTTACACAACCCGATTGAAAATTGCTTTTCACAAAGCTGGTGTAAAAACCTCTTATACGACTTAACTGAAAAATGGTTCTCGAACGTTTGCTGTACAAAGGGATTTATACAGGGTTTTGTTTATGTTAAAGTTCGTCAGTAATCGGGAAATCGAAACACAACAATTTTGGCAGTCATTGGGTCACATGGTTCGCATTGGTAGGATAGTTACGTTCACCAAGGTTGACCACCCCAGCGCCTGGGCAAAGCTCAACCCAGCGCCTACAGGTTCCTTCTTTTTTTTTTACTTTTTTTTTTAAACCTTAAAGAAAAAAAAAAAAANAGGTGTATATCAGTATGTAGTGTCTCTACTTTAAAGAGTCCTCTCCTGCTGATGTTCAGGTGTATATCAGTATGTAGTGTCTCTACTTTAAAGAGTCCTCTCCTGCTGATGTTCAGGTGTATATCAGTATGTAGTGTCTCTACTTTAAAGAGTCCTCTCCTGCTGATGTTCAGGTGTATATCAGTAAGTAGTGCCTCTACTTTAAAGAGTCCTCTCCAGAGAAACCAGAGCCCAGTCTGCTCTGATTGGTTTGCCGGCCGGCTCTGTTGTGATTGTTCAACCGCTTAAAGATGTCCCGCCCCTTAGCCTATCCGTTACAATGTGTTGAAGTGTTACATAGTGATGTCACCGTGTACAGGAACTTCAGGATGTCAGCCTTTGCAGACCGTTTACATGCACAAAAACCTATATAACACACTGTAGGGAAGGGAAAACCCCAAAAAGCAGAATAGGACCTCTTTAAAATCACACAACCATGACATGCAGTCTCCAATCTTACTAAATATCAATCTAATCTTCACCAAACTTGTAAACCTGACTTCATGCCACATAGCCATCACATGTTCATCGACTCAAACACGTGTCCTGTGTTCGTACGACTTCTAACGAGTCGTTTGAAGTTCGATCACTCCCAGCAAACAGTAGCTTCGTTCCTGCTTTCTCTTCCTCTTAATCCGCCCACTGAGAGCTTTGAAGGCTGAGTGAGTAATTGGAAGAGCTGCGGAGAGTCGGAGCGGCTATACAGTAGGTGAGGCTTCGGCACATTAATCTCTGTGTAATGAAGCGATGTAATCCCCCATAGAGAGGTACCGTAAACCTGCAGAGTGGTATTCTTCAGATGATGCACTCAGAAGGAAAAGTGTGTGTTCTGTGAGAGAGCTGACCTTTCCCTCACTGTTTCACTCGATAGCTATTAAATAAATGTACTGTGTCCAGTGAGAAAGAATCAATATTGATGCTCCACCTGTTCTGTCAATACTTACTGGGTTCTTACATTTACCACATCAGTGCTTAAACTCATGCTGGGAACATTTGAACTCATTGATCTAATAAGTGACACGTGAATTGGGCTCAGAGTAAAACCAATGTGTTAAAAGACAGATGTGAAATGTTGATTATTTGGTTTAAAGTAAAGAAATCCTGTGATAAATACAAGGGCGTTTGCTGAGTGCACACATACACCAAGGCTGTTTCCACAAAGAAATAGTGTGTGGGTGTGTGTGTGTGTGTGTGTGTGTGTGTGTGTGTGTGTGTGTGTGTGTGTGTGTGTGTGTGTGTGTGTGTGTGTGTGTGTGTGTGTGTGTGTGTGTCTTGTTGTTCACATCCACTCATTGAATTGGTTCATCCTTGGCCCAAAATACGAAATGTCTAAAGGAGATTTTGAAGCTGCGAGAGATTTTCTCACAATAAGAAACATTAAAGTGGAAAATGAAGAGATTTCAAGCTTGATCAGGTTTTGCTTGAAAAATGATTATAGCATTTCTTCTTAACCCTCCTATTGTCTTCATGTCCCCCCCCCCTTACTTTGGTGTTCACAGTCAAATTTGACCGGTCCTGTTTTAACTGCTATTACATGAACACAAAAACCATTAATCATCACCAAATGTCATTTAACACCCTTTCAAACTGTACATATTGTATCAGACTACTGGTATACATGAAACACTGCAGTAAATATACAAAGAACAGACACTGAACATGTATTGCGTGTGCCAGGTGTGATCCATGTGGGGGGATGGGCACANAGAAGGGAGTTCCACAGGGCTCTATTTTGGGGCCCTTGCTCTTTATATTATATGCAAACAATATTTGTAATCAGATGCAATATTCTACCTATCATATGTATGCTGATGACACTATTGTATACTCATGTGCTCCTTCTCTGGATATGGCCTTTTCCAATTTAAAATCTGATTGTATCATGCTCGCTGCAGCATGCACTTCTTGACTCCAAACTGCTATTGAACAGTAAGAAAACCAAAGCAATGCTTTTTGCTCCCAAGTCAGCGTCCTCTTGCCCCTCCATTGACACCCTTGATGGCGTCTCCGTTGAGTTTGTCGATACGTACAAATATCTGGGCTTTTGGTTGGACAGAAATCTAAACTTTAAACACCATATTGAAGTTCTTACTAAGAAATTGAAATTCACTCTTGGCTTCCTTTACAGACTTAAATGTAGTTTTTCAACTTCTTCCCGTAAAAGGTTGTTCTCTGGCTTATTCCTGTCCCAGCTGGACTACGGTGATACAATTGATAGATTTGCCTGTCCCACTGTTTTGGCCTAACTTGACCCACTCTACCATGCTGCACTGAGTTATATATAAAATGCACCCTATAGGACTCATCATTACAAACTGTATAGCCTAACTGGATGGTCCTCACTTACTATGCGTAGGATGCAGCATTGGTTTTTATTAATGTATAAAGCCATTTTAAATAAGCTTCCACTGTATATATATATGTGCCATATTTGCTCCAGTTTGTGACTCTTACAACCTCAGATCCAGTGCCTGGATACGGCTCTAGGTTCTTGCGGTTTTGGACTGAGGCTGGAAAAAGGAGTCTTGAAAACTGATGGCAGTTGTCCCTATAGCCTGTTTTAAATTGAAGTTGTCTGAGGTCCTTAACACCAGCTGCTCTTGCAGCAATAAGTAGTTTACCTTACTGTCCAAGTGTGCACAATGTAGTGACTGCATTCCGTCTTTTTGTTTACTTAGTTGTGTTCTCTGTATTTTATATGTCTGTGTTATGTGTAATAATGTGTAACGTTGCAGCCTTCTTGGCCAGGTCAGCATTGTAAATGAGATTTTATCTCAATGCTTTATCTCTGGTTAAATACAAAAATAAAAATAGTGGGTCGTGGTTTAGAGAAATACCAACAAATATATTTTCTTCACTTGACATTGACAGGTTTAAATGTAACAATTTATTCTCCCTCTCTGTGCGTCTCAGTGCCAGGGTCTCTGCGAGTGCCGACACCGTGAATAAGTATGTGGTTGCTATGCGGGCTCAGGTGGCTCCTCTGACCCAGGACTACATGGCTCAGTTTACCCAGGAGGCCGAGCAGCTGAAGGCTCGTCTGGAGAAAGATCTGACCACCGTGAGCACCAGCCTGCAGCCCATTGCCGATGAGATGGTGGCGCAGCTCCAGAGGCAGGTGGAGGAGATGAAGAAGGAGGCTGCCACCTACGCTGAGGCCATGGACCCCCAGGCCCTGAAGGCCGCCCTGCTGCAGAAGAGCCAGGAGATGAGGGAGCAGCTGGACAAGAGCGCGGCCCAGCTGCAGGCCCAGATGGTGCCCTACACCGAGGAGATCAAGGAGAAGATGGAGAAGAGCCTGGAGGAGTTCCAGAGGAGCATGGTCCCCCTCACCCAGACCTTTGAGACCCAGGTGAGCCAGAAGACCCAGGAGATCCAGCAGAACCTGGCCCAGAGAGGAGAGGAGCTGAGGGCCCAGCTGGACGCCAGCGCTCAGGACCTGCAGAGCCAGCTGTCCGTCCTGCTGGAGGCTTTCACCCAGAAGACCCAGTAACAGCCCTCCACCAGCCCCAACACTCCAGATATTTATTTCAAATTCATCCAATGTATATTTTACAAAATAAAAATTGAACAAACAAGTTCCGTCTTTTGGTGTCTTACTTAGGACTCAAGACTGTTTCAGAGTTTTTCACAGAAGAGTGAGTCCTACCAAGACAGTTTAATATTATACAATTAAAGGCACATTTGTAAAGCTGACAGTTGCATGACTCAGTCCATACAATCTGTTTGTGCAAGAGATTAAATATCAAGAGGCACAATAAAACTGTACAACTTTAAGATACTTGAACATTTCCATCTTATGCTACTTAATTAAATTACTTAATTTGACTACTACACGTTAATTCATATTTAGTAAAGATAACATTTTTAATAAGAAATACAAATAAATTATAAACGGATCTTATTCTGCCATAATGTGTTTATACTCTTAGCCATAAGCACTGATAAAGCAACAAATCATTTATAAATATTTGCAAACAATCCCAACTTGTTTACTTGATTGAATCTCTTTTGTACTTTTATTATAATATTGTATTTTAAAATTAGCTTGCAAAGGTGACACAAACCTTTTAGTCATAATTTTGGGAGAGGTGAATAAAGATGTAACTAAAGTTATATATGTGTTCTCATTTGACAAACCAAATTTCACGTCGGGGTGGTTTCATATCATGTATTAAAAGATTGTTGGTTTACATGAGTAGTTGTCTAGATCAGTGGTTCTCAACTGGTCAGGCCTCGGGACCCACTTTTTCCTTAGCCAATAAATCGCGACCCAAATTTTGAACCACTTAAATCTATTCAACAAAAAAATCGTGCTGTAATTTATACGCTTTTCAGCATACATTATTAATTAAAGTGAAGTACAGTGCATATATCCCTTATATCCCTTCACAGAACTAAAGTATGCTTTTAAAAAAGGTTTAATGACATGATGGATTCAAAGCTGAACTGTATAACATTAAAAAGGCACACATGCTGTAAACCCAACCCCAGAAGGGGGTCTCCAGGAGATTTTTAGAAATACTAACATATAAACTACCCATTCTGGTACACTCTGAGAAGAAAATAAAGAGATGTATTACTACCCGACATATTAATAATATTTTATGCCATTGTTTGTTTTTCACATAGTTCTGACAGCTGAACTTGTCTGTGTGAATTGTGGGTAAGGGTAGATAGCCCCCATTGTTCTGTGACCTGTCCATCATCAAACCGGGGGTCATATTTCATTATGTGTTCATTTTTATCTGAAGTTGTACCCATGGATGTAGAAAGAATAGTTCTACCGCAAAGTTATTCTCCGTGGGGACTTCCGGCAACAATCTTGATTCTGATTGGCCAGAAGACTCGAAAAAACATCAGCAAAGATGTTTTATTGAGAAGATGATCACTACGTGACAGAAGTTTTCAAAACCGTTTATGGTCTCCGGTACTTTCAGTCCAACGCCGACTGCATGCACAGCGTTAGAAAATCGGGCCTTCAAAATAAAAACTTTTTTTTCACTCACACATCTGCGACCCACTCGAAACGGGTCCGCGAAATATATATATAACAAAAATTCACAAAATGAACATTATCCTGTACTGAAGAAGACTTGAAATGAGAGATAGCAACCATAAACTCGTTAGGAAAATGCTCACTGAGGTGATTAATCAAGTGAGAAGTACGGTCATTTATAATCTGATTTATTGTAACCACCTGGTGGCCATTACAAAATAAAAATATGCTGGTTTCACGTTTCAGACCCGGAGTTTCCTGCTTGTGCTTTAGCTTAATAAGCCTATAGTTCAGCTAGCTAACATGCTAACAAAAACAATGCGAAATAGACACGTAAAAGGTATTACGTTTACTCTAGTAACCAACTTAGTTTAGCTAGTCAGTATGTCATAATTCATTAACTAAGGATACTGGTTAAGTGAGTTTCTGCAAGTATTTGTTCACAAACCAAAAATATATTATGACAATTCATCCAACAGTTGTCAAGACATTTCACTCAAAACCACAAAATATGGCAAACAGGGGTTGCAAAAATCACTGTCAGTAAAATACAATTAAAGTTTCCAAAAACCTCAATGTGGAAACATGTTCAATCTAAATATCTCTTCTGTTAAAAACTGAGAAAAGTTGGGGACAAAGTTTTCGTATCATTTGGTAAAATACCTCTTACAAATATCTACTTTCCCATGCTGCTCTTACTTCATGGCATTGTGAAAACAGAAGTTAATCAACCATGAAGGGTGTGTGTGGGGGTGTGTGTGTGTGTGTGTGTGTGTGTGTGTGTGTGTGTGTGAGAAATTGGGACTGGGCGTTATTTTGAGGAAGCTGTGGTCAGATGTGAGTGGGGTGGAGAAATTGAGAAACTGAGAAACTGATATGAAGAAAGAGACGAGAGAAAGAGATCAGTTCAGACTGGATGAGACGCGGCTCTGCAGGTAAACAACTATACTTTTAGATATTGGACATCAAGGTATACACATTGTAAACATGCCGTGCTTAAGTATATGGGTATAGCAGTTTGAGGACTACATTTTATAAGAGTTGTAATTCAGTGTAGTTATTTGTAGCTAGCATGTTAGTCGGTGTATACAATCAAGAAGTAGAAACAAACCAGCTACTTTATTCTTGTAATTTAAAATAATACTGTAACTTTTGAGAGAGAGGAAATAACACATCTTCTACTGACAAATTAAAAAAGATGAATTCTTAAATATCACTGCTAGCCTTTCTTGGTCTGCTATGCTAATATTATTTAATGAGCTCTGTTGCATTGTTATTGTTAGCATCTATGCTATTACATGGCTATAAACGAACATAATTGACTCATGTCCAATTGAATTACAGTTATAATACCTGTGGTTTCATAACTGTATTATTGTTATCAGGCTGTTATAAATCAAAGTTTCTACTTAACCCTATGATGAATGCAATATAATGTGTACATAACCCAGAGGGATAAGACATCCTAAAAGTCAACATTGGCTTGTTTCAACTTGTAACTTACGTACCTAACTTATACCAAGTCTTTTTGTTGCTAAAACATATCAAACCTTGCTTAAATGTACGCAATATCTGATCTTCTCCTATACCTATATAGAGGTTTTGTTGCTTTAAAAAATAACTCTTAGTGTGATACATGGCTTTCTAAATGAAAGCACCTATACGTACTGAACCCATACCAAGTATTTTGTTGCTTGAACATATCCAAGTATTTTAATGTACTTATTCTAATGTAGTTCTGTTGTCTTAACGAAATAACTTTTCGTTACATCATAGGAACCGTTGAAGAATACGCTTTTTTAAATCAAGCAGATTGTTTTTATCTGATCAACAATCTCAATGTCCTCCTCTTGTGAAACTGTATTTGAGAAGTGCATAAAGGCGTGTCCTGTTCCTCTTTTCACCACAAACACTGTGTCCTCTCACTTTCAACATGTTTCTTTCACAGTGCTCATTCTTCAAGCCAGATGATGAAATGTCCAGCTGCCGTTGATGCTCCTGCAACTCCCGAGTATGCTAACGGTACCTATGCTAACGGTGAAGCTAATCAGGAGAGAAACTGCACAACAAGACCGACAAATGTCCCAAATAACACCGCGGGGCCCAGACACCGCCCTCCCTCCATCTCCTTCCCTCGTTCTCATCAGAGACGATATTCTGCCGACTTCTGCAGGTGTTCCCCCTCCCCCGTTATCACTTTGAAGAAGAACTTAAAGGAGCCGGACCCCCCTCAGCGTGTCGTCCCCCTCCTCACACCCCAATCAGTGCCCCGTAATCCATCCAAACGCTACTCCTGCCCCCCATTTGCTGTTTTTAGCGTCAAAACTCGCTCTTTGGCCTCTTCGTCCTCATCCTCATCCCCCCCCTCCTCCAACTCGTCCTCCTGCTCCTCTCCTCCACCTGCTGTCCAGACTTCAGTCATCACTGGTCATGATCCATTAGGTTGGAAACTGCGTCCGAAATCGAGCTCCACCTCCCCTCGTGCTAACAGGCTATCTCTGCAAATCCCATTCCCTGTCATTCATCGTGAAGTCCCCGCATCAAACTCTCCATTAACTCCAGATCCATCGACTAAAACCAGACCTCCTCTGCAACCAAGACCAACCCGGAGACGCCACTCCGATTCCTCCGCCTTCCTCACGAAATCTCACCCCTTTGTGACCCTGGAGGAGCTTCGTAACGTTCATCTTCACGCGGTTCTCGCTCGGAGTGAGTCTGACGATGTGTTTAGTGACGGGGGCGAGGAAGAGAAGGTAGAGGAGGTGAAGGCAACGGGCAAAGAACCGCCACCTGTCCCAGAAAAAACTGTCTCGGCGAGACAGATAGCACAGCTGATGGCTCGTTCACACCAACGTAAAGAAATCATTTACAGCAGAGTCCTGAAGACCAAACGAGAGAATTCACACGAGACTGGTGTCTTGTGTGAATGATGGTCCAAAAAACTGGTAAGTACTCGTGAAAATGTACTTTGAATTAGAGACACCTACAAAGACTACAAACTGTATCTTACCTTTAACAATGATCTGCTTAGAGAGGCATGTCAGCCTTTTAGCACAACGTTGCAACTGGCATCAGAAATCCCTTTGTTCGTGTTACAGTGAGGACATTTGAATTGGTGCAGCCTGAATGCTCGAAACACCGGTAAGCACTCAATAAAATCCCCCCATTGTTATGGATGATAATGGATGATAATGGATTATAATGATGATAATGGGAAAACACAGAAACAAGAACTACACATTATGGTGTACCTCTTTCAAAAACCAGTAAAACAGGTATTCTAGCAATTTAGCATTGCATCAGAAATCCTTAATTTGTCCAACTGTCATTTATCATATACTTTGTTAAAGCAAAGATGCAGCAGAGAAAAGTAAAGAAGTAGACTAACATTAGATACAAGAGGCAAGGATACTGTATGTTAATTAAAAACGAACAGTATGGCGTGTGGCGCAGTGGGTTGTGCGTATGTGTTCGAATCAGGGGGTCCAAACCCCACTGCAGTCAGCATGTCGTTGTGTCCCTGAGACACTTCACCCCAAAGTGCTCCTGTGGGGATTGTCCACAGTTTTGAGTCTGTAAGTCACTTTGGATAGAAGAGTCTAACAAGTGACATGTAATGTATATAAGTAACAGCATTTTAAAAGTAGTGAAGTACCAGCTAGTAACATTTACAAATCATAACAAAGTATATATTGGAAATACAATAAAAGACATTTGTAAGAGACAGAATTGAAACTGAAAAAGGCCTCAACTGTTGCAACAAAGGGCTGGAATATCACGAGTTTAAATCCTGAGATTAGATCAAGCTCCAAAAGAACAGGAAACTACACTTCCCATAATGCAACACTACGCAATGTAATATGATACGACTGCAGTGGTACAATCAGAATAAGTCAAACTGTTCTCTTCACACAAACAGTAGATAATGTTCGTCACAAAACTTTCTTTAAAGTTCACAGAAGATGCTATTTTAGACCCATGCAGTGCCTTTGACCCTGATTAGCTTCTGATTGATTGATTTTACCCTCAAGGTTCTTTATTGTCAAACTAACATAGCTAGAGTAATTATGTCGTTGAAAATCTTAGGTCAAAGGCTTCTCCCACAATGCAACACAATAATACAGATAAGCAAAGTGTTAAAGCAATATTAAAGTATATTATATTAAAATCTAATACAAAAGAAAAATAGTTCTAAAAAAAGTGGAATATTGGAATACGAGTCTATATACAAGTTATTGGAATGATATTAGGTAATAGATAAATAATTACTAAGTAGCAGATGAATGTTATGAAATTGTTTCTCTCAGCTGAGAGTAAAGGCGTTACAGTTTCAGTCAACATTGAAATAACTTGCTGTGTTTCAGGAGGACTGCGAGATGATACCAGCTGCTCTGGGGTCAGATCCACGCCCCGATTCCCTGGATAATGAGACTACTAAGTATCAGAAACATGTGTACACATTACGGTATCATTTATATAATAACACTTTATATTAAGGTACACATGTTCACCATCAACTAGTTGTTCATTAACATGCATATTAGCAGTATATTGACTCTTTATTATTAATTATGAAACACTTATTAATGCCTTATTCTACATGACCATATTCTACAAGTACTATATTAAGAGTTCGTCCTCAATAACCCTCTAATCAGTGCTTATTCATTGTAAGTAAGGACGTTGTTGTACATGAGTTTGGGTCTTAATATGCTCAATATGGGTGTAATATGCTCTCATAATAACATCCAACACATATGGTCTATTCTTATGACATGAAACTATAAGTGTTAATTGTGTCAAAATGACGTATTTCTAACTCAGAATATGTTCCCTATTTTAAAGTGAAGTCTTGTTCATGACCAATAAGCTAGTGAGTTTGACCTCATACTAGTTGATGGTGAATATGTGCACCTTAATCCAAAGTGTTACTAAGTTTTTATACTTAAATATCTCAAATGTCTACGGCTAAAGAGACAGAGCATCAGTATTGATCCTCTCCTCAATACTTTCCTGTTGAATATTTGCTGTAAATATCCGGCTTGTTTTGCAGACTTTGCATGTTTTTACATTTTGACCTGACTAATGAGAATAGGTTCAGACAGACTAATGTGTGTTTTGAGCATTAATGCATGTAAATATGTTTCTAGGAGACAATGTCTTCATAGCATTTAAGTAGGAGTGTACCTTTAATATGAATATGTGCCAAATGAATTTGAAATAGAGCTTTTACTCCTTATAAAATATATAGAATACACTTCTTGAGTCTGTCTTGAGCTATACATGTCATTCTTTGTGATTTCTTATTGATGATTAACCTGTTAATAGATGATCAAAGCCTTGCAATGCCAGGAGCCATGTGAGGGCTGATGCTCTTTGTATAAAGTTTCTGAAGAATCATTCATTCGTCTTTTGCTTGGTTTATCAGCAATTCTCATGGTCTGATGTTATGATCATGCATGCATGCACACACACACACCCACACTGAAACCACACACACACACACTGAAACCACACCCACACTGAAACCACACACACACACACTGAAACCACACACACACTGAAACCACACGTCCATACACACACACCTACACACACACACCTACTGAAACCACACGTCCATACACACACACACCACACACACACAGAAACCACACGTCCACACACACACACACACACACACACACACACACACAACACACACACACACACACACACACACACACACACACACACAACAATATCAAAACAATATCAGTCTCACAGCCAAAAACCCCTCGCCACAACACGCGTGTTTTTACAGCAGTAACACCGGGGGAAATATGCAATCAGGAGACGTGAAAGGGTCCAAAAAAAATACTAAATACGTCTAAACACGAAAAAGCAGCAAAAGAAAGAAATTGTTTTAATTTGTGTTGCCTTCGAAGGTTTGCCGACACATTGCAGAAATTAATAAGCCTAATATTAAGGATTTATGTATTTTAATTGCATATAAAATGTCCTTCCATAAAACGACTAATAATCTTGTGTTTTGATGACACAATAACCAGGTTTATATCATATATATATATAGGTTTATATATTTAAAAAAAGTCTGTTTATGAGTCAATAACGACACGCATGTTGAAATAGAAACATATTAAATACTAAACTAATATTTCAATGGTTTCAAAGGAGCTCTGGTTTTTCTAATCATTAAAGAGATACTTGAGTGAGTTCTTTTTTATTATCTAGGCCGGGTAGAGATAACATTATTATCTCTTTTTCATGATTATGCTGAGGTTTTTTTATTTGTAATTTGAGCCTGAAAAGTAATCACCGGCATGAGGATGATATGAGTTAAAAAAAAAAGAAGAAGAAATCTCAACTCAAGGTCCAATTTTTCAGATCTTTAAACTGAATCTGGGACAGGATGTAAATTCAACTTTATTAAACTTTGCCTGCAGTTTCATAATAACATTTTAAAATATGTGAAATATCTGGTCATATTTCAGCAGGAGATATGGAATCTAAATCTATAAGAGTGTAAGTTATACATGAAGAGAAATACAGGAGTTTGGTAGAATCTGGGTTCAGTCCACACACACACACACACACACACACACACACACACACACACACACACACACACACACACTCTCTCTCTCNGCTGGAAACCCAACCCCAGCAGGGGGTCCGGGGGGATTCTCCCCCAGGAGATTTTTAGAAATACTAACATATAAACTACGCATTCTGGTACACTCTGAGAAGAAAATAAATACATCTATTACTACCCGACATATTAATAATATTTTATGCCATTGTTTGTTTTTCACTTTGTTCTGACAGCTTGCTGCTCCACACAGAGAGAAGAGCAAAGAGGAGAGTCTATGTGAAGTACTTTGTGGGTAAGGGTAGATAGCCCCCATTGTTCTGTGACCTGTCAATCATCAGACCGGGGGTCATAGTTCATTATGTGTTCATTTGTATCTGAAGTTGTACCCATGGATGTATAAAGAATAGTTCTACCGCAAAGTTATTCTCCGTGGGGACTTCCGGCAACACTCTTGATTCTGATTGTCCAGAAGACTCGAAAAAACATCAGCAAAGATGTTTTATTGAGAAGATGATCACTACGTGACAGAAGACCGTTTATGGTCTCCAGTACTTCCATGCACAGCGTTAGAAAATCGGGCCTTCAAAATAAAAGTTTTTCTTTTTCAATTTTTCTTTTCTTCACTCACATCCACGACCCACTTTTGGGCCGCGACCCACCAGTTGAGAACCACTGATCTAAATACATGTTTTTAATAACATTTTAATATTTAAACTTAAGCATTAAAAAAAACCATTACAAATATTATAATCTTTACGAAACATAAAGATATTTTATTTTTCGTTTTAAATATTTGCATTTTTTCAGGACATAAAATATTCTTAAAGAACATCTTTAAAATGTTAATAATTTCAAAATCAAGACATTTATCTGTTTCTTCTTCATTTAAAGAGTTTAATAACATCATGTTCACTTCAGGTGTTATATTGAGTTAGTGAGATGTCACTGAAGGGTACACTTTAATCTTTATTAGTTAAAGATCTTTAAATAATTAACTGTGATGTGTCTCTCAGCTTCTTTAATAATAATTGAATAAAAACCGTTTCTAAATTCAAGAAACGGCTTTTATTCCTGAACATTATTCCTGAACATATATAAATAAAGATTATTTATTATAAAGTCTTCTGTAATCAGAGACAGAACCTGCGCGCGCAGCTCAAACGGGCTTAAAGATAATATCTAAACTTCATATTAAAATTCAAACTTGCCTCACTGCACTTCCGCGTTGCTGCTCAGTGTCGCGTGCTGTTCGTCCTGCGCGATGACGCAAATTCCCGCGGGAAGAAACTCAAATAAAAAAAGTTCTTAATTATTAAAGTTAATATAATTAAAAACGTTGAAGTCTGTCGGAGCGTTTGTGAACGAGCTCTGCTCTTTGTTTTGCTTCCGGTTTGGTTCAGCTGACTCAGCGCTGCCGACACTTCCGTCCAGGAAATGACGTCTTTAGGAGGAGGTCCTTATATCCCATTAAATGGAGTTTAAAAAGTACTCAGATCACATATATTAATACATTAATATACAAATATATAAATATATATTTCTGCTGCTTTCTGTAATAAATGCATAATATTTTATATTCTTCATGATGTTTGTTTTCTACTGTAGATGTATACATATATATAAAATAAACAGCAGATATAGATAAATATATATCTGCTGTTTATTTTATTGTTCAAACTTTATTCCACCTCCTAAATGCTGTAACAGATCAATAAATAATATTTATTTAAAGGTCCCATGTCATGGCCATTTCCACTGATCATAGTTCCATTGTTGAGGTCTACTCAATAGATTCACATTGTTCAATGTTCCAAACTCACATTGGTTTCTCATCCAGCATCTCTGTATAGTATGTGTATTCACTCTCTGTCCTACACGGCTTGTTGGAGCTCCTGCCCCCCCCCTCCCTGTGAGCCCACCGTGCTCTGATTGGTCAGCTCGTCCACTGTGCTCTGATTGGTCAGCTCGCCCACTGTGCTCTGATTGGTCAGCTCGCCCACTCTGTTCTGATGAGTCCACCACCGTTACAGCGGAACATCAGTGATCATGTGTTACAATGGCGTTTGTTAGCAACCAGGAAATGACACCAGTAAGGACAAACAGATGAGAACGCTGCGTGGGGTCTGAGTGCCGTGTTGGCGGGACGTTGAGGGGCTCGCTGCTGGAGCGGACAGTGGGAGCTGGGTTACTGGTGTGGTTTCCTGGTTGCTGCGTGGGGTCTGCGAGACATCGCACCGTCCCCCCATCTGCGAGGCTCCCCTAGCACGAGGCGTCCTGGGGCAGACAGGTCTTCTCTATGTTAGAGTGTTACTCCCTACAGGGTGTACTTTGAGGGTTTGTGGCTCTGCAGACCGTTCACATGCAGAAGCTACAGAACACAAGGGGACGGGTCAGAACCAGAGAAGCAGGACACGGGACCTTTACAATCATATTAATGCTTTCTGTTCTGTCGTTTCTTGGTATATTGTTTTATTTTTCTTCATTGTGTGGAACATCTTTGAAAAGTGACTTTATACATTAAATGCATCATTATTATTTAAGTGAATATTTTGGGGGTTTGACATGTTTTACCATTTAACTAGAGTTTTATAGACTTTATTTACTATAACTTTATTTTTTTAGACCATTTTCACAAAAGTTATTTATCAAATATCTAAGTTTTATAGACATTTTCACAATGAATCTATGTGTTATAGACCAAGTGATCGATCTTAAAGGAATCAGCACAATCTCTAATCGATTACAGAGCCACTACATTTCTAACTCCTGATGACAGGAAGGCAGAAGGTGCATCACACTAATAATAATACTCTTAGCAGAAATGTCTCCCTCCTTTTCTTCTTTAACAACGACCACAATATCATTATTTTAACAAACCAAATATGAACAATTGAGGAAAATGAGGAAGAACTGATGATTCAAATGTTGTAGTTCAAGTAGTTGGTACTATTGCAACCAACGTGTTCATTTTCTCCATGATGAGTCGATAACACACGTAAAGGCCACTCGTTATTAGAGGAGAGAAGCGCTCGAGTGAACTCCCTGATAACAAAGACAACTGGAAACCAAAACAAGGAGCAGCCGTTTATCTGCCCCGAGGCCAAGCTTCTTAAACCTGAAGAACTGGTTACACACACACACACACACACACACACACACACACACACACACACACACACACACACACACACACACACACACACACACACACACTTAATACACACTGTCACACAAAGTTACACACACACACACACACACACACTTTAATACAGACTGTCACACACTTAATACACACTGTCACACACACACACTTTAATACACACTGTCACACACACACTGTCACACACACACATTAATAAACACTGTCACACACACACACACACACACACACACACACACACACACACACACACACACACACACACACACACACACACACACACACACACACACACACA